GAGAGAGAGAGAGAGAGGTTGATTGCTAAATTTTGGTAGAGGCTCGAGTTGGGTGGAGAAAATTTTGGATTTTTTAAACCGTGTGAATGGTTATTTGCATGCATGATTATCTAACTAGTTCAATTTTCTGCTACAGTGTTATTCAAATATAAGAGGAAATGCAATATATTTGCTCAATTTTTATAAAATATACAAGGAAATTCTGATATGTTTCTGCTGCAGACATATGGATTTAGGAGGATTTGACTCCAAAAACTGGTTTTTTTTTGAACCGGAAAATTGATGTTTGTTGGAAATTTGAAAATTGGTGTAATTTGTTAACAACTTAACATCCCCAGATCTGGATCATTCATATTCCCATTTGATTTCGTAGGTGATGCCATAATAGACTTTCACCAACTTTAAATTTCAATAGTACGAGTGACAACCAGTTAAAAGACATCTTTGTCTTTGTGCACAGTGACCAATATTTCTACCAATGGAAGACAATAACATGGTCCAGATCAAGGGTGTTTGTAGAAGGTGAAGACGACCATGGGTTTGTAGTGAGTAATAAGTGGCAGTAGGTTGAAACAAGTCTTATGATGTTGGATAGAATATAGAGCAGGATGGCAAAAACAAAATTCATTCGTTCATTCAACCAATCCCAAATATTTGGGATACAGGTTTGTGGATTTGAGTTTGCAAACTTTGCAAAGGCTTTATAGAAACCATAACAACGTGATGGTGAATTAGTGCTGAATACATTTCACTTTGCATAATCAATGGCTAAACAGAAACCGCTTGAATGGATGATATTGTTGTTGTAAGCCAGCTTTTGTCACTAGGTATCTCATACGGACACAAAACTTACAGGAAACAGCAGAATTGTAACATGCTGTTGTTAGGTCGTAATTAAATGGGACACAGTCATTTGCACATCTTATTGTATGAATCTCATGCAGGTGACATCCCCTGGAGGAAATACAGTGCACTCATTGAAGGGAACATCTGGGGAAAAATTTGAGTTCAAGGCCCCACAAAGTGGCATGTTCAAATTTTGTTTTAATAATCCATATTCGACACCAGAGACCGTCTCTTTCTACATACATGTTGGCCACATTCCCAATGAGCATGATCTTGCCAAGGATGGTTTGTTAGTTTGTTCAATTCTTATATATTCATATTCTTTGCTAGTACATGCTTGAAGCTGATTTACATCAAACATCTCTTATATGCAACAATTTTTTCACATTTATTGCATGCTTTGCAACAGAACATTTGGACCCTATAAATGTTAAAATTGCTGAGCTGAGGGAGGCATTGGAATCTGTTACAGCAGAACAGAAGTATCTAAAAGCACGTGATGCTCGTCATCGTCATAGTAAGCTGTCTTCTTTCCTTGGATTAGAATGACAATCAATCAATTAATGCAGTCTTGCAATTTTGGTTAAGATTTTCTAGGTACTATCTTTCTAGCGATCACTTGTGGGCCTGCCCATTGCTTTTTTGCCCACGTGGGCCCACTTGAAATAACTTCTCGACCGGGAGTCAACAAATATAACTTTTTTACATGTGCACTATAGTGTTGCAGATAGATGCCTGACTTTCTAATCGTCAATTGCTAAACTGTCTGGAAAAGTAATTTTTTTGTATTACTATTTACCCTCCACAATTGTGATTCTGCTATCTTTATGGAGCAAAGCTAGAAATTCTTTGTGTATTGGTTATTCGTTGCATATCAGTGTTTGTTTGACAATACCATAGTCAGAACTGGCCCAGAAAAAGAATAAATAGCTAAGAACAGAAAAGATGTAGTGAATATTTATGCCATTTAGGCAATGGAAAGAAAAATTATCTAGAAAATTAATCACATGTTGTCTGCTTCTGCTGTTCACAAGATGGTGTGCTTTAGCCTGTATAATGACATCATGATTTGACGTTTCTTCTCTCAATTTGGACTTTGTTTTTCTTGTTATACAAACGTAATATGCATGTTCTGATTTCTTATAAGTGGACTGCTGTGAATATCATTTTCACTCCTTTAACTGTCTTCTAGTTGCTGTTTGCCTTTTTCATAGCGGAAATCAAATCCACATGACAGCAGAAAGATTCTCTATATCTGCAATTTTAAATTACCCTTCTTCATTACCTCCCCCTCTTTTTTTTTTCCTCATGCCGATGCAACAATTTTCTACTGAGTACCCTTTTTTCCTTGTTTTTTTTTACAATGGTTACTCAGTATTATTCCATATCTGTTTATGCTGCAGCAAATGAGAGCACACGCAAGCGTGTGATATTTTACACAATTGGGGAGTACACGATGCTGGCTCTTGCAAGTGCACTTCAAGTTGTGTATATACGTCAGCTGTTCAGTAAGTCAGTTGGATACAACCGGGTTTGACATTCTGTTCTGAAGCTAGCTGGCTAGTGTTAATTGTCTCAACACAAGAAGTTCGTCACTTTTCTAAAGAGTTTTTTTCTTGAGCTTAGAGAACCGTATCTTGTTCTTAACAAACAAGTATGCTGGTTCATACTACTGATTCCTTTCATTTATGAAAAGAAACTTATATATATTACATTTTATTTTGGTTTTCCTCATCAATTATTTCAGATTCAGATGGTTGCGAAAACATGAATTTTGATTGTAGTAATAATAGCATATGACTTATTCTTGAAATACTCCATAATTTGGAAAGAAATTATCCTATGATTTCTATATCATGCTAGTGACTAGGAACTATTGAAGTGATCATTGTGGCACTATCAAAAGGTTAGATTTGGACAGTTAAACATCCTTAGAATCATTTTGGACCAAACTTAGGTTTTCAGAATTGTTTCTGCAATTTCATAATGTTTGCATATTTATCAAAACACTATATCCTATACTTGCGATCATTGTTGTTGGAATATAAAGCCACCTTTCAGTGTTTTTTGTGGTATTGAACATAAGGAATTGGATTGCTAGTGGAAGAATAGGTGAGAATGTTCGAAGTGGGAGTATCCCAATCCCAAAGTTGTAGACTATCACCCAAGAGATATGTTGAACTTTGTAAAAATCCTGTCCTCCACCACCACCATTTTCTGCCCCAAGCCTGTTTTTGAATGCCTCGGGCATGTTTATAATGTCCAGTTTCTGGAGGTTAGTGACAAATTTCAACCCTTCCGGAAATATTGAATATCAAAATAAGACAAATTTTATACTTCGGTGCAATTAACCCAAAAGCAATGACGATTGATCCAATGGAGAGTTTGTTCAAAGCGGCGCAGGAACGAGATCAGATAGAGGCATCGCGATCGAAGGGGATGGAGGATTCACCAGAGCAGGTGACACTGTTGGAGGGGACGGAAGCGGAGGACGATTGCTCTACTGTTGGTGACGGCGTTGGAGGAGTTTCGCTGTTGGAGATGACATAGAAGGATCAAAAGAGATGACCGGCTGTTGGTGGAGAGACTTTCGGTGATTGCGAAAGTGATATTTATGGAGATTTAGCGATCACAAGTCCTAAGAACAATGAAATTTCCAAAAAAACAGAGAAAGATTAGTTTGAATTAAACGACAAAAAAATCACTTACTGGAGAGTGGAAATGGAAAAAGCAACGGATAGATTCGCAGACAGATCGTGCTGACGTGTCGTTATCCAAATCCTTCACCAAAAAAATTTATAGCTTTTTTTCCGGATTTACTGTTAATTTATTATTATTTTATTGTGATGGTTACTGTGTGCGCCATCAGCGCTTATATGATACTTTTTGGTCAGCTTTTGGGGCTGCTTGAATGAATTTACCAAAATACCCTGATGGGATTCTCGGAAAATTTTATTTTCTTATTTTAACTTGAAATGATTCTACATTTACTCGAGTTATTTACTACGATAAATTTCAAAAAAGAATATCGATTTATAATATTTTAAAACTTAGTTATTAAATTAGGATATTTTTTAAAAAGTGGTGTTAATAAAAGTAGAGTCAACAACTTTTACTTTTAAATGTTTTAATGAGATGCAAAAACAAGGTGCTAAGACAATGAATTTTCTCATAAAATTGAGGTGTTTAGCCTAGTTTTAAAAAAAAAAGGTAACGTAGCCTTGTAAAAAAATTCAAAAGAGTTATAATTTCAAAGTTTTATTTCAAAGGTCTACGCAGTAGAAAGATGTCGGTTTGGACATCCCTCCCTTATAATAGTGTGATGAAATAAAAAAAAAAGGTCAACTTTGTGTGAAATGTATATTCAATGACCTAGATTCAACTTTAATTAGTGAATTTAAGATAATTGATATTTGAAATTAATGAGTTTAATTGATATTTTGTAGGTAACAATGATGTCATGCATTGAAAACAAATGGTTATTTTAACTATTAAATATTATTCTCAAACTATGTAGTGATATTTTTTATTCTATTTTTATTTATTTAAAATTTAATTTTACTTTTTTTTGGGGTCACTATTTTGAACCGTTACAAGAGGGAGGAATAATGAGGTTCAAATTTACAACCTAATGGTCTAACGACAGGCAACAATGACCATTAAATTAACCGTTGATCTTCAATTTTACTTACTAAATCACTGCATCAATGTCAAATTTTTGCTTTTTATCCATTTTTTTTTATCATTAATGTTATTGAAACATAATTTGGGTACATAATAAACTATTATCAATGAAATGATAGTGAAATATATTTAATGATGGATCCTATTTTAGCATTCAATGAATTCACTATCATTTCATTGGTGACAACTTATTAAATCTTCAAATTATGTTCATAAATTATGTCCCAATAGCATTGCTCTTTTTTCATATGTATAGCGTGGTCTCTTTTAATTGGATGAATTACACTGAACGCCTTCAAAGTATTAAATTTATCTCATTTTGACCTTTAATATTTTAATTACATTATATTGGTCCTTGAATTATTAAATATATTTTTTTATAGTCTCTCAAGTATACAACATCCAAATTGCTAATAACTTTTTATCATAAATTTATCACGTATTATCTAAATATAGGCAAAAATAATTTAAAAAGCTCTTGAACAAAAATTTGTAATATGAATAGAGATCAAATAAAAATATATTCAATATTTTCAAAAATTAGGCACAAAAATAAAAGATAAATTTTATACTTTAACATCCAGGACAATTAAAATTTCTCAATTTCTTCACGGACTAAGGGTAAATTTGGCAATCAAATATTCTGCTCAAAACTATTTTAACCACCTTCATCAGCCTCTGAATCTCTCTCCCTCTCACTCTCTGCTGTTAACAGAAATCTCTGATTTGCGATCTTTCTGATATTTGTAAACCAAGAAAATGCTGGCTGTATTCGAAAAATCTGTGGCTAAGAGTCCAGAGGGTCTACAGAGCCCACATTCGGACTCATCGGTGTGTGCACTGAAGGATGGGTTCTTGGCTCAACAATTCTCGTCCGTACACCCTGCTGCGGTTACCATCAACCTTGGCTCTGCTGGTCTCATCGCTTACTCCATGGACAAACAGAACCCCCTCTTACCAAGGTTTAGTACGCCACTGCCTTTTCTGGGTTCTTCGTTGTTTTTCTTCTTGATCTGATCTTGATATTTTGTGGGTGCTTTTTTGATTCTATTTTCATGAAATCAATATATGTTGTTATGTTTGTAGAGTTTTTCGTAACTTTTTGGATGTGGCACACGAGTTCTATGACTTTTGGATGATCTTAGACTGTAGATCTCGGTGAAACTTTCTTGGATAATTTGTAGTTGTTCTTCTTGTTAGTTACTTTATTTTTATATGGAGAATATAATGATAGTTACATTTTGATTATCGAACCCATATCCAGGGGGCTTATTGATTCTGCAAAACCCACTTATTTTACTGCTGTTGCTCTCTGTTTTTTTTAATTCTTCCTTTGTCCGATAGAAATTTCTTTGTATTTCCTACAAACCCGTTTAACAGTGTTAACAATTTCTTGATTGATCATTATGTTATTTTATGTTTTGTTTGTTGAATCTTATCTATCCCACTGCCTTTTCTGGGGTCTCGGTTTTTTTATTCTTGATCTGATCTTGATATTTTGTGGGTATTATTGATTCTGTCTTCTAGAAATGAGTATATACTTGTGTTCATACAATTTTGTCGTAGACCCTTTTGTTATGACACGCTGATACTGCTATGATTTTTGGATGATCTTGGACTCTAGATCTCGGTGATGCTCTCTTGGATAAATTTTTGTTGTTGTTTACTTTATTGTTTTGTAGAAAATCTAATGATCGTTGTGTTTTGATGTTCGATTCCATATCGAGTGTTCTTATTAATTCTCCTAAACCCATGAACTGCTGTTGCGCT